AAAACATCAGTGTTTATATTAATGTGTATATAGAAATGGCTAACAACACATGAGTAGAGAAATCTGTTATCTAATGCTTATTTGCACAACTTTTCAGGCACATACCTGACATTTTTAATGAGTTATGAAAAATGCAATATGACATTCAAATTTTTAAATACGGTAAACATGTGATGTTGGAATCGATGTTAATGGTTTCTTTAAAAAACCCTGTCTTTTAAAAGTGTAGTGCCATTATCCACTAAAAAACATATTATTTGATATCATTTTTCTCAATAGCTATTTGTTTCAATTTCTTGAAAACAGCAAGAAAGTAAACATACAACTGCTAAATACGTAAACACATTTTTAGTGCAAGATAACAAGACCTGTGACTTTACTGTGCTTTGTCTTTTATAATCACAGTGCACTTCACACAAATTGCTACACTATAAATGTTAACTGAAGGAGTTCCAAACAGAAGTGCATACTAAACACTTTCATATATATTATATACAGTATGTATACTGTATGTGGGTGTATACATGTGTAAATGTAAATGCTTTTAGGGTGGGCAAACCCAGTCATATTTGGGAATAATTGAAAACTTCAAGAAGATTTTCACATAGGTTTGGTTGAGATAAATCCAACAATATTACTGTAAAGATGTTTTCCCTTAAATTTAAAACTTTATAATATTTAAAGGGAAATATACTCAGACATTTTTACCCAGGTAACACATATCTTGCTACAATGTCATTGACCCAAATATCAAAAGGTTTTAAATCAATCCAAACTCCAAGCTATAATGTTCAAAGTCCAACATGGAAAAATGCATTATTCTTTTACTGATTTACATAGACAGCAGTACATATCCTATGTGTACACATAGAGGTTTACACATAAACATATTTTATATTTAGACATCAACTTTAGTATGTTTAGCATTTTATTTTGACTATACACTTGATCCGGGAAAAACATATAGAAACACATATAGAAACACATAAGAGATGTCAAACACATATGATATTGTATATCTTCTTAAAAACTCTGTTTTGAAACTATTAATGATTGTATAATGAAACTCCTTGAAGGCAGGGACCACATTTTTCTGAATGCTTAATGTCAAATGCTTTAGAAATGCTTTAGAATAGCTGATATATAAGTTGCTCAATAATGAACTGTTAAATGAATAGTGGATTAATAGCAAATTGCTCACATTCCAGAGTTAGCTATAATTTTTCCCTTACAAAGAAGATTCGGTGAGTTAAGCTTAAGAACATAAGTACCATTTTTTTTTTTCACTTCCATTTAAGCTTGGGATGCAATGAATGGTGAATTGCTTTTCTATTCTACTTCTACTTCTTTGCAAGGGTGAATTCCCTCTCACCTCAGATAATTTGCTGTTAATATCATAGAAATTTTTCCTTAATTTTATAAGTAGCCATAATTAGCTTACAATTACTTTTCAATTTTAGGTAAGTAAGTCAACTTAACATAGAAGTAATATTGAAATTGTATTGTATGTGCATTGTTCTGATGTCTCATTTAATTAAAATAATAGAGTTGTTTAGTTTTATTAATTTGGTCACCAAACTTGCTCATAAGCGTCAAACCACTTTAGATATAAGGATGCGGCCTAAACCAAAATGTAGTAAGAAAAATGTTTCTCTCCAGAAGAATTGAAAGAAACCCGTTTGGGACCTCGGGGTCTCTGAAGTCCCAGTGTCACTGCTTTGAAAAGCAAAGTTGTATCTGGCTATATCCATTCAATTACCATGTGTCTGAATACTTACAGTCTTTAAAACTACACATTCTAATCTCTTAATATTTTGCATTGTTTCATTGTAACATCTATTTTTGTGGAGTGGGCATTACCTTTTCCACAGATCAATCAGTTTCCACTCCAAACTTGCTTCCATAGTATCAACACTAGGGGGAAATGTTGGCAGTGTTTACATAAAGAACTATTCTACTGTTATACTTCAGAAAATGCTGGCTTCTGAGATTGGATAGAAAACAGGATTTGATATTTCCCTTCCATCAATTCTAAAGAAATGTGTGTCTTCTAAGACGTTGTTCACATATAAAAGCATCTTGCTGACAGCCAATAAAGTTCTGTTTCTATAAACTTTGCTCTGAAATGATCATTTTTAATAGGGCTGAGCTTTCAACTGGTAACCATACAATGATATGATTTGTTCTTTGGCACTGCTAAGAAAAAAAAAATAGCATATGGAGTTTTATCACTCCATAGTGTTCTGGCTGTAGGTGGAATTTTTTACCATTTGACTAAATTCATAGGTGTAAGTGCCCTAAACGGCTACCATCAGAGTAAGTTTATTTTTCTTTTTGATCCTAATGACCTCTTTTTTTCCACATAAAGAAATGTTGCACAAAAAAGAAATCAATTATATAATAACTATTGCCATATAGGCTAAACTACAGTGCAGAATTTTATAGGTATAGAATGTCATTTCTTAAGTTAAATATCAGTGAAGCTGCTTTTCCAGATCTTTCAGTTACTTCCCACTGAAGGCAAGATTTGGAGACAGTAAATGGAAATGGTTGCCTAAGGTCAGATTTTCAAAGAAGCTACCTTCTCAGAAAAATAACTTGCTTGAGAAGGGAGTGTGTGAAACCTGGCAACAGCGTTGGTTTGGCAGAACAAATGGAAATGGCTGAACCCAACACAAATCATTTGGTTAGCTCTATTTCCTTCTTGACAAGTGGCCAGCATTAAAAAATATCTTCTGCCTAATTCCGAGAGATATGGTAATGATGGGCATTTGAAAAACACACCAGTGTGTTTTACTTAAATGAAAATTTCAAGGGAATTATCCAATAATAATTAGATCAAGCTTGACATATTCATATGACATATATGTATGTGTATCAAGATCATCATAAAGATGCTAAGTATTGATGGCTTACACATATCTAATTCATGGGCTTGAGTATATGTGGTCATAATAACTTAAATCAGGATAATAATTTGGGTCATAAACACATTTAATGTCAATTCTTAGTTTTACCTTAACACATTTTCACCACTCTTAGATTTGTACTCCATTGATTTGGGGGTTTGAAACATAATCTATAACTGGTGAAATATGACAGCAGGATCTATTTAAGCTACTTAAGATCTCTCCATGATTTCATGTACTAACTTGCGACTCTGCTTTTGTTTTTTTCCACCTCAATGATACAAGCAAAATTTCAAACATCAGTAAGCATTTTATGTATACAGTTCCCCCACTGAGTACTCATTCACGTGTAGTGTACACAAACACACATAACAGATACACATGCTCCCACTCACCTTAGTTCCCTTATTCTTTCAGAATTCTAGTTGGGCATCAAAATATACATTAATTATAAAATATTAAAAAATTATTTTATAACATTTCAAAGGCTTGAAAGAAACTATTACTGATAAAGCATTACTAGGTCTTTAGCAATATAGATTACAAAATTCCCCTACATCCTGTTATATTTGGTTATATTGAGCAGCACTGTGCTATTGCTGTCAAAACCCTTACAAGGAAAACCACTATGACAACAACTTCAAACACATACCTTTTCTCTCAGAAATATAATACTAAATTGATTGTTAAAGAAGAATCACATACTGTCCATTTTTTGGAAGCATAAATAGTAATTTAAATATACAAAATATATATGATAGTTTCCTTTTTATTCCTCCATGGGGTTATTTATATTCAACTAACAAGTTACTCTTAAAAGATATATATGATTTGTTTAACTTAAACTTTACCACCACAAAAATTGAATCCACCCCATCTCCCATCCCCTGCATTTCCTGTTTCTTCCTTGAAATAAAATAAAATAAACAATTGGTCATAATTCTTTGGTCATGGTGTCATCATCGGTAAGAATGTGATGAACATGCACAAAAGATTAACTCCCCAAATAGGGTGATAACTCATTGAAAAGTTAACATGAAATACTACTCCATTCAGGCATCTAGATTTTGAGAAAGCTTGGCATTTAGTGTACTGAAATATGCAAACTCATCTGATTGAATGTTAATTGATCATTTTCTAGGGGAAACAAACATACACATGAAAAGTTACTCAAAAGTAGCGATTGCAGCAGCTCTGAAGCCACTGGTCTCACCTTCTTGAAAGCAGTCGTGCTGTTTTGCCTTCTATTCCTTGTCCCTTCCATTGTCACAGTGAACCCTGGTCTCCTCCAATCAGATCAATGATGCAAGGACATGTGTCCCTAAAGTCATTTCTGAAAGAAATGTTTTCTGCTGGGATGTCCAAATATACCCTAGTAACTTTCTCTGGAGTCTGACTCATCATTGCTTAGTATAAACAAGATGACATTTGAAGAGAAATTCTTATAAAGCCAATGCAGCAAAAATATCAGTGTTGATGTAATGTGGATGTCCAAATTCAGCATCACATTGGCATTCATTTCCCATCAAACCCTTAAAAAGGTACAAAGCAACAAACAGATGTTCTTAACGATGTGATATTCAACTTCTACATTACTAGCACCAGATCATATATTATGTGATTGAACATAATTCATACATGAGCTAGTGTACAGAAACCAAATGTGGGAAGAAAGAAAAACATTTTAAATGCAAAAATTAATAATCAAAGGCATCAAGGGACATATAAAAGAGATAATAAACCAGTTAATACCGAAATTGTATCATATAGTAAAACTCTTGGTATTTCTATCATTTGTATATGTATAATGTGTATTATTTCAGGTGTCACCCATAAACTAGTAAAATATTTACATCTCAATATCTTCTGGATTCAAAATAATCCATGATAAATAAGTGTGCCTTAAATGCAAGGAAATACACATTTTATCTTGAACTCGCCACGAACAAGCATAGCTTCCCATGGGGTTTCCAGGGAACCACTGGCATTCCATTCTGACTGAGAAGATGTGTAACAGTTACTTATCACATGACCAAGTCGACCTCCCTCTTCGTGTTCAGTAACGTGGAGCTCACGCCATCCTGCACACAGTCATATGGCCGTATCCCAGAATACCGTTTGCTGTTTAGAATAGGGTGGAGGGCTGTATTTCTTTGCACCTGCATTCTTCTTCCAGCTGGGTAGGATAGGCATGCTATCCTGTTTGCAAAGCCCCTTTTCCGTTTTCTGTCTAGCTTTTATTTCCTTGCACAAGCAACGCTTTTTCTCAATCATCTCAAGCATTGTATGGTCTCCATGAAACCACTGCATGCATGCCACCTGGCAAAAAAGAAAGAGTGAATACAGAAAAAAAAAATGGAAAGAAAGCAGATTTGTTTTGCACTGTGCTAGTAGTTGTTTTGAAAAATGTCAGCCATTTCTATATTTCTGAAATTCTTACAAAGCAAAATTAAGGCATATAAGTGCCAAACAAAATTTGTACTTAAATTATTAAATATTGAGATATTATGAAACAATAATTTAGGAGTGAATATTTTACCAATATGTTCTGAAAGTCCATGCTATGGAAATAAATTCTTCTGTAAAATTTTTAAGCCATTTGCCAAATATTTGGCTATTATTTTTATGTTGACTCCATTGTCTTATGGGTCTCAATATTCTGAGTTCAATTATTAGCATTACTTTCAAGAGAGACCTTATATGAACGTGATATGCTTTCATGAACATTTTTATTAGTAAAATAAAGCTTAACATTTGTTTACAAATAACATGGAATTTAGACTTCTAATTATTCTTCTACCAAAATGTATTTCAATGTACATCCAATGCTTGGAATATAAACACTTTAATAATTATTCTGCAAAGGAGTTTCACTACACATCTTGATGCTACAGCAAATGTTTAATTAGAATTATTGGTTTCTGCAATAATACTGATGCAGATCCTGAATAGTTCCAGAACTTCAAAGAACCATATTCATCAGGTCAGTTGGATACCAGGAGAAGATTCAATGATGACTGTATATTGATACACATACATCTACTGCTGGACAGGTAAACACTGCTCCCAGGTGTATGAGACTATATCCACCAGTAACTGTTCTTTAGCACAGAGCTAGCAGGTTGAATCTGTCACAGAATAGCAGTGTGTCTGAGACAGGAATCCAGGATAGAGATGCTTACACTTAATCATTTAAGCAAATCTATTGTATGACTTCAGAGTTAAAATAGCTCACTTGGAGACACTAAATTTAATGATACAATTTTAGGAAATAATTGACAAATATTTATAACACTTTTTCTGGGGCTTCCCTCGTGGCTCAGTGGTCAAGAATCTGCCTGCCAATGCAGGAGACATGGGTTTGATCCCTGGGTTGACAAGATCCCCTGGAGAAGGAAATGGCAACCCACTCCAGTATTCTTGCCTGGGAAACATGAACAGAAGAGCCTGGTGGGCTATAGCCCACGGGGTTGCAAAAGAGTCGGACATGATTTAACCACTCAACAACAATTTAACGCTCTATACCAAAACCCATTCTTATTACTTGGCATAGTTTAATGCATTTATTCCTCACAATGACAATGCTCTGAATTAAGTACTACTGATTACCCCAAGTGTATGTTAGTTGCACAGTCATGTCCAACTCTTTGTGATCCCATAGACTGTAGCTCACCAGATTCCCCTGTCTATGGAAATCTCCAGGCAAGAATACTGGAATGGGTTGCCATTCCCTGCTCTAGGGGAATCTTCCTGACCCAGAGATTGAACCCGGGTCTCCTGCATTGCAGGCAGATTCTTTACCATCTGAGCTACGAAGGAAGTCCCTGTCATCCCATAATGAGTAAAATGAGACTTGGAGAGATTTAGTAATGTGCCTACATTTACAGACACAAATGACAGGGTCAAATGTGAACCTAAGAGTTTATTTCAGCACCTGTGCCCTTAAAAACTACATGCTACTGGTTCTAGAGCATGTGAAACTGGAAAGGATTGAGAACAGTCAGTACGACACCCTCCAAGTATGGGTGAGGAAGCTAAGTTTTCCAGAATTTATATATCTTGTCCAAACCAGGCAGGTAGGTTTTAATGTGAACAAGGCCAAATTCAATTCTCATAATTCTGAAGTCTTTATGAAAAGGACAAGATCTTGAGCTAGAAGTCAAAGATTCAAATTCTGAAACTTGATGAATTTCCATTGATCACTCCATTTCTCAGTTTCTTTTTTTGAATAACTAAATTGATAACATCTTCTTTTCAGAAGTTAGTTTAAAATTTAGATTGGGTAATGAAGGTGAAGTAATTAAATAAAAACAAGATAGTGAATTGCCCTAGAATTATCCTAATACTGACAAATACCTAGCAACGGTTTTCCATACGTGCTCTCTGCCATTCATGTGGAAAGAGCTCTACATATGTTATATTAAAGCCTCCCAGCCACACTAAAAGTTAGGGTTTAGTTACACATCACAAGTAAGAAAGATGAGACTTAGAAAGCTTAAGGAACTAGTTCAAGGAAGGTCATAGGTTACTGGCTGTGATGCAAGTCTATATCAAATTCAGATCTGCTTGATTCCACAGTAAATCATCTTTCTATTACAGCAAGCTCCATCTCCTGAATATTATTTTAGAGATTTTAACAATAGTTGTTGTTGTATGTACTACCATTTCCAGATGCTATTCAAAAATGCAAATGTATTTATAGCCTTATGAGTGAATAAAAACTGTTTGTCAAATAAATAAAATCAATGGCTTGAATTGGTTAGCCAGTAGCTTAGATTCCAGAGGGTGATTCTCTTGGGTAAATATCTCGTATGTAATAAACTTAACTTGACATAAAGTTTCTTGAAAGGATGGGCTGTGTTTGACACCTTTTGGTGTCCTCTGGCCCCAAGCACAGGGCCCCGGCCATGGCTGTTCACTTTTTAAGTGAATTTCTGGGACAACAACCAACAGGTTTCTGTCCCAACATGAGATTGTCAAAGTAGCTCATAATTTTTCAAAAGATTTGTAATATTTTAAAACATGATAATCTAAGCAATAAAAATACGATAACTCTATTTGGGTGGAAATACAAGCAAAATTTATTGAGTGACTATAAACTGTTATAAATGGAATTTATAATACAGAATTCTCAGAGGGCTAGCCCCAAATAGCATCCAACACAGTAGCCCCGACATGCAGAACAGAATCATTTAGCGCTCAAGAAAAGTTTTAGAAATGGAGTGAAGCCACCATCACGTTACAGTGTTTGCTATTCTCAGAAAACTCTCAAGATAATTTCCTTTTTAGTAAATTCTCACTGGATTTCACATATCCCAATGAAATCACAAAACCTCCCATCTTCTTTAAGGTAAGATAGTTACAGCATCACTTCAATATTTGCATGGTATTTACTTGTCCATACAAACATTAAATCACTTATTAATTTCCTTTAATATTTTTAGGGTGTGAATCAGTACATGTAACTGAAAAATAAATTTTTTTCTGGATTCCTCTGACAACAGTGCCACCAATATATTTCATTTCACTTCATAGTTGTCATTACAGTTCATAAATACATTATATTATTGAGAATAACTGTTTTTAGTCAATTAGTAGTTTTTGCTATATAGGTATGTCAATTTATTAAGAATAATCCATTCTTTAAAAATCTAAAGGATAAGAATTTAAGAATTGAGTTATAAAATATGCTTTTTCATATTCACCGCATTTTTATTTTAGAATACTTATATATTACTTGATTGAGATATAATGGTTCAGAAGAGTACTAGTAGACAATTACTCTTGTTTTCCAGACTGACTCTGCAATATTAAACTATTTTCTTTTGGGGGTCCATTACACAGTCAATAAAAATTCCATGACAAAGCATTACCCAATGTATGAAAGAGGGAGAGGTATTCTAAGAGAATTCAGGTTCTTAGAAGATAGTAAAATTCATTTTTTAATTTTAAAGTTTAACAAATCTAACAAGTCTGGCACAGAATCTTCTCATGTTAAATATGCTATCAAATTTTTTTTCTCATTTAAAATACCACCCCCAAATTGTTATTATGTTGCAGTAATATTACTAAATGAAGAATGAGATTCAGTTTGGGGGAGATAAATCTGCTTCTCATATTTACTTTTAAAGAAAACATATTTTTGAAAATTTCTTCCTGAAGAGCACATATTCTTTTTAAATCCCCAAGTTAAACCCAGTGTTAAACTCAATTGCCTATTGACATGGCCAAATCCCTCCCCCCTAAAATGTGTCTAAAAATTGTATTTCATTCTGATAGTATGTGTTAATTCATTACTTTAGGCATAACAAATAGCAAATTTAGGCATTATATGAAGTGTGTTAAGACTATTAACCGTAAAAGGTATTGAGACTTTCCCATTTTTTTGGTCATCTAATTCTTCATATTTAATTTAAATTTAGTTGTAAAATTCCATTCCACTTCATACTATAGTTGAAAGAATTTTATGCCAATTTATAAATATTAATATTTAAAACTAATCCTAGTAAATAAACTCTAGTAGTTTAGTTCTTTAGGGGCTTCCCTGGTGGCTGAGATGGTACAGAATCTGCCTGCAATGCAGGAGACCCGGGTTAAATCCCTGGGGTCAGGAAGATCCCCTGGAGAAGGGAATGGCTACCCACTCCAGTGTTCTGGCCAGGAGAATTCCAAGAGCAGAGGAGCCTGGTAGGCTAGAGTCTATGGGGTCACAAAGAGTCAGACATAACTGAGTGACTAACCCTTCCTTAGTTATTCAATCAAGTGGTCTGTTTCTTATCTTTAATCCAAATGCATTTATTGTATGAACAAGGAAGGAAAGAAAAAAAATACACAAGCAAGTAAGCACGCACTGGGAAACAATTATTCATTAGTATGAAAACACTTATATATCTTGGACAAGATTTTCCTATTAGCAAGATTCAATGGAGACAATATTCTTGCCTAATTTCATGGAGATCAAATCAAATGAAGCTCCTCCTCAAGAAGATGAATCATAAATATACACCCCTCAGGTGTAGGCTATACACATGACTTCTTTCCAAAGGGTACAATGTGGAAAGGAGGAGAAGATGAACTTTACATGAAGAAAACTGTCAAACACTACCTACACCACACCAGGTCATCCACACTGATCAGTAATGTTGAGAGAATGCATTCGTGATATCACGTGATGAGAAGTGCACTTAATCTCTGTGGTCTTCCTCCTCTAAACCATAACTCCAATAGAATCATGAGAAAAACACCAGACAAGCCCAAATTGAGAGACATTCTACAAAATACCAATCCAGTAATCCTCAAAACTGTCAAGATCACATAAA